CAGGCATTTATATGAGGGATGAGGGATTTATATGCCACTCCCCTTGCTTTCGTTTGAGGTTGTTTTTCACTGCATGAGAAAATGGTTGTGTGGCGTGAGAGCGTGAGAACTGGGTCAATTTCGCGAGTTGACAGCCTATCCAGCTCAAATTAATTGTCAAATTCACATCAGATGGGGTCTGTTGAATTGTTTAGTGTTTGCCTGCATGTGCTTTAATTCTCACCAGAGTCGATGGCTTGCATAAGACATACATAAGTGGTCTGAATCTCTTGGCTCCCTCCACAAAAATGTTCATTCAATTCTCTATGGTAACCATTGTTTAAACTAAAAGTTTAGTTAATTTTATTACAGTACACTGTAAAAAAAAATCTGTGACATTTACGGTAAAATACCGGCAGCTGTGGTTGCCAGACCTTCCCCGTTAAAAATATAGTAGAAACATTTTAGGTTTTACAGACTTAACTTAAATTCACAATAAAAAAAACGTATTTCATTAACTGATGTAATGTTAATAAACCATCATACTGAAGTGTTAATATCTGTTTTGAACCATTGACATTAAATGTAATTACAGTTATTCACCGTATATAGTATGGAAACTTACTGATAACCAATTAACAGGTCTTTACTGTAGCATTTTTAGTCTTTTACTGTTAAAATCACAATCATTTTTTACAGTGTACTCTCAAATTAAACAAATATAATTTTAATTTGAGTAGATATACAGTAATTTGACATGACAATGTTAGGCCTACCATTGTTAAATGTATTATGGTGTCTTCAAGTCCTGTAGGCTATATAGGAAAGTTATAATTACTATGTCATGTGCCATCAAATCACTTACGTAGGTCTGACGTACCTTTTCTGCGAATAATTTAACAAAATATACTTCTGCAAAATGATGAATAAAGTATTCGCATCAGCTGTGTTTGCTTTTTTATGTTTTTATTCCATTTATGAAGGTGCTGAACGACTTGAACTTGAAACCCAGGTGACAAAAAGTGTCCGTCCTGCATTCTCTACACAATTACACTAGAGGGCAAAGTTCCCCATTCTCCCCTTAACATGTCTTGAGAAATATACCAGAGAATAATAATCCTTCTGTTAAAACATGGGGAAAAAAGCCCTATAGGTTGACTTTTACACTAATTATGCTATTGAATAACCTCGTTAATCAAGGTTAATCTGCTCTTTATGTAACTCTGAATAGCTATTATGAGCAAGAGTGTGTCAAGATTGACTCAAAAATAAATACAATAGAGACCAGAGACCAGCTCTCGTAAAATCAAATTCAGACCATAGCGTAACTATCTGCAGTTAAATGTCAGGTAATGCCAATATATCTTTACATTCATACGGTAAGTTTTAGATCAGTGTATAAGAAAGAGAGAGAGAGAGAGAGAGAGAGAGAGAGAGAGAGATTTGTTCATCTAAACCAGAATATAAGAACAGGCACTAGAGAATCTCTGCCTTTCTTTGCAATCAACTCAGCAATACGACTATGGCCACTGCAGGCAAGGTCTTTTTTTCATTTGTGCTGCAGAGTTAATGCATTTTTAATATGACTCCAATACCATATAAGTTAATTTACATTGACCCATTGATCACATAAGGAAACAATTTACAATGCAAAGATATCAACACTTAAGTTAATTTGTATTCCATATACCGGTAATCAACTTAATGCAAAATGAATAAGACTCATAAGAATGTTATGGATGCTTTGAGCTAGCCAGTATAACTATCATAAGTATACACTGGTTAAAGTGATGAAAAAAAGCTTGTATTACAAGCTTGTGTATATGTTATTATTGTGATGCACAATTGACTGCACTGCTTTGCTAACTATAATGCAATATATCAAGACTGACTGTTCATATAAAGACTAAATGATATATACTGACTACATAAAGAGGTTTGGGTGCCACATGTAAAAGTGTGAAGTGACATTTGCGCATATTATTCATCTAATCAATTTATAATTCAAATTTTTTTTTTAAAACAAATGTAACATTTTTTGAGGTTCTTTTGTAATTTTCCCAGTTTTAAATCAAATTGATACTATATGCAGTTTCATTGAGTTCATATTTATCTTTAGTGATAGTGAAATCACAGATTTGTGGCTCTAAAAACATGTAATGATTTCATTGGCTGGACAATCTCCAACTACGGTTAGAAAGCAGAGATCAAGCATCCGCTCAAGCATTTATATAGTCATCTGTAATCAACCATTAAATGTCTAAAAAAACATGCTGAACCAAGTTCTTCTGTGCTAAAGGTGATTAAATGTCGGGCTGCTGTTGCCTGGGAGCCCAATGCGCCTCTGGTAATAGAATAAATAGAAGTTGGCCCACCTCAGGAAAGAGAAATGCGAATTAAATTCTTTCCCAAAGAACTAATTTGCAGATCAGTTGATAAAGCATGCAATACTGTTAACTTGTATTGGCAAACAAGGATTTTCCCCATCACATAGATTGTAGCTTCAAGTCTGTGTCACGCCGAGATTTTCCACCTGTTTGAAGGGAAGGACAAGCGTGGTTTTCCCACTGTCCTGGGACATGAGGGCGCTGGTGTGGTGGAGAGTGTGCGACCTGGAGTCACTGATTTCAAACCAGGTCACAAAGTAAAATGTCTTGATTTCTACTTTAAAAAGCATAATTGAGCAAGAAATTAAAGTTCATAATTTATTCACCCCCCTGTTTCCTCCAAACCTGTATGACTTTCTTTCTTTTGTGGAGAGAAAAGGAGAAACTTTAAATTATGTACTGGCTACTGTTTTACATGCTATTAGGGACTGAGGACAAGAAAAAAACACCATAAAGGTATACATAGCCTATGACACTCAAGTCTTCTGAAGACATTTGATAGCTCTGAGTAAAAAAACAGACCAAAGTTATTATTTACCTCCAGGGATAGCTGCTGCGACTAGATCACTGAGTCAGTGAAATTAACTGATGCTTTGTCTTGGCTTGTTTAGATGTCTAGTGACATCCAAGCAGTGAATGAATCAACTTATTCTGAGTCACATCATTTCATTGAATCAGCTGATCCATAATTCTGATTTGTTCATAATCCAGTTGAGTTTTCAATGGCACAATAATGCGTCTTAGCACTTAACTTAAATTTTGGTCTCTTTCTCACATAAAGCTTTAGCATATTCTATATTATACTTTCTGGAGCCTGAAAGCCTAATTGCACATATAAGCGACCAATCACACAGTGTTTTTATTTTTAACTAAAACTACATTTTCAGTAATTGAATTAAACCTGAAATAAATTAAAATATAAATACAGTATTAGTTGAAAAACGTAAACTTAAAAAAAAAAAAAAATTTAATGTTGCCTTGGCAACTAACTGAAATAAGTTTAAGTACTAAAATTGCTAAAACTAAAACTGAATCAAAGCTTAATAAAAATATAAAACATAACAAAATTACTAAAATGTACAATTAAAATGAAAACTATAATATAATATAAATATAAAATATAAAAAATAGCTAATTCAAAATATTAATAAATACTATAATAGTATATAAATAATACTAAAATAAAA